TTATTATTATTATTATTACAAGTATATAATGTGCATTTCATAGTATACAATATAATATACTTCTACGCCAGCGTGCAGCATTGTCTCGCCTTCTTTTTACACACAAAAGAGTTTATTATGAAACTAGAGGTTAACGCTGAAACTTGTTTTTGATATCGAGAGAGGGTAAATAAATCTATTGAGAGAAACCATTTTTCTAAGGCATGATTCACATATCTCAACTCAGAGATATATCTTTAAAGAGAGAGAGAGAGAGAGAGAGAGAGAGAGAGAGAGACTGCCTCACACTCAGCTCGCATTGTCAGAGAGAGACTGCCTCACACTCAGCTAGCATTGTCTAACACTATCATCCTTCCCCTCCCCAGATGACTGTTACGACAACAGAGACTGCAACACTGGTACCTGTGTAGACTCAAATTCGACCACATATCCCCGTCTACAGTGTTACTGCCCGCCTGGCTTTTTCGGACGTCGATGTGAGAAAGGTGAGATTTTCAACTCTTTGAGAACGTGCATACTGGTTATTTGACAATTCCCCGCCCCCTCTACATTTTTCTATAAATGTAAGTGTTATTAATAACGCCCCCCAATGGCATACTTTAGATCTCCTTCCATTCGTGGCGTCTGTGATTCCCTTCTTCTCTGTTTCCTTCCTCTTCACCCTCTCAACTCGTTCTAGCACCCAGGAGTCTTCGAAATGACCTTTTTTCTGTGTCTAATGGGGCATTGAACACTTACAAACAGAAACTCGAAATAAATCAACAACAAAAAAAGCATGCAAGGTGTAGCAAATAATAAATCTTAAATGAATATCTTATATTTCCAGCTAAATCTCAAACACCCTCCCCCCCTTTCCCCTCGTATTTTCTCCATTTTCCAGAGTCACCCGTGAACAGCAAGGATTATATCAACTTGGACAACTACAAAAGAAGAGAAATGTCTACAAAATATACTGTCTACCATAGAATTTTGGCTGTAAGTCGTGAGGAACCTCATAGATTGTAAATGTATCAATATAATGTAATTTATACCATGTCCCAAAATTACTATTGTCCGCCGAAGTCTACAATAGCTGACTAGTGTCAGTCATGAGCTTGACTCAGTTTTTCTTGGACATTTTTCTCCATAGTCTTCGAGCTATTGTCTTGGTGAAATAAATTGAAATTTTCTTCCAACACTCCAAGTTGAGAGTTTAAATAGTTGTTAATGTAGGCAGCAGAATATTCTTATTTGACAAGTTATGCTCTCTATTTTGTATTATTATTATTAGAGCCATATGTTACGTCCTGGACAGCCCATATTCTTTTGAAATACAATGTATATCTAAGATTTAAGAAAAAAAAACAAAGATTGATAATACCGCTTTGTCCCACAGGATACCCAAGAGCTGGAAGTGGTGATGAAAGTGCAGTCTGCCACTTGGGTAGGCCTTGGCTGGAGATCTGCAGGTAAGGAAGCCTAGGAATATCTATTAGAAAAGAAAGAAGGAAGAGAAAATATTTCTCTATTGAGAAAGCAAATTTCAACTACAGTGACAGATTAATAGAGAGAATTTTGTATCTACGTAGAGAGTCACATATGCGGATAGCTTTAGAACGACAGATGTACGCCACTGGCCGATATTTATAATAACAGCCATCTTGTTTGACGTCATTGAGGGATTCCCACTTTGTTGTCGTTCACGGTGGCAACACGACCGCAAAGCACTATTGCAGTATTTTTAAAGCCTGTAGCTTACAGTGCCGTGGTGGCGGAGTGGTTAGTGTGCTAAGTCCATGTTCGAGCCCCGGTTCGGCAACGGATTTTTTTTTTGCGCTACGGCTTGTGCGACTTCAGGTCCAAATCCCAACTGGGTGTACTTGATTCTGATTTGTTTTAAGAGTTTTCAAGGCTCTATTACTATTAATTTTGCTCGACTGTGAGAGACAGGTCCCGCCTTGAAATCTTTATAGAGACAAATCAAATATATTACGAAGTTAATTGAAAAGTTGTGAGGAATCCTAACTGTTTTATTTGCTTATCTTCATGCAATAGGCTGAAAAAATGATTTCTTAGTATATGAAAAGAAAAAACAGTTGGACTCAGAGAGAAAAAAAAACAACTGCATTTGTGACATTAACGTATCTGCTTCCTCTAATTCCAATTATGTTGTTAATGGAATTCAACGTAGTGCAAAAGTGATGGATATATACATAGATCTATATTTTAAAAATTTATTTTATTTTTTGGGATAATTGTTTTACCGCACTAACAACAGCATAAGGTCATATGAGCGCGCGGGACACACCAAACATTTTCAACTGGTAGGAAATTTTGAATTTTGCCCGGGTGGCGGCCGAAGCCTACTCTTACCGATTTTGGACCACCAAGGGATCTTTAACGTACGCAACTTGCACGCGGGACCTCCGAGATTTTTCGCCCATGTCCAAAAAGGCTAGGTGTAGATCTTTGTTTTTGTAAAGTGTTTTACGGCGCTCGTAACTGCATAAGGTCAAATGAGCGCGCGGGACACACTTAATATTTTCAGTTGGTAGGAAATTTTGAATTTGGCCCGGGCGGCTGCCGAAGCCTACTCTTATCGATTTTAGACCACCAAGAGATCTTTAACGTGCGCAACTTGCACACGGGTCCTCCGAGATTTTTAGCCCTATCCGAGAAGGCTAGGTGTAGATCTTTCCTACCAGAAGATCAGGGGTGTGGCTGAAAGACAGCAGTACGAAGAAGCGAAGGAGTAGCAGTAGAAAGGCTGCAGAAAGAATCAGGAGCCCAGAGGAAGGGGCAAAGGAGGTGAGGGGGTGGGGGCAGAAAGAGGAGACGAAAGCAGACGACAGAACATTGCTAGAGAGCAGGGAATGAGGTGAAAGGAGACAAATTTAGAGAAGAAAATTTTTCGGTCGCTACCCGGATTCGAACCCGGGACTTTTTGAGTGAGAGGCCAACACCTTAACCTCTAGGCCACGAGAGCCCCCGTGTAGATCTTTCCTACCGGGTGTGACTGAAAGACAGCAATAAGAAGGTGTCAAGGAGTAGCAGTAGAAAGGCTGCAGAAAGAGTCAGGACCCCAGTAGAGGGTTGGGGGGGGGGGGGAGAGGCGAGGGGGCGGGGGAAGAAAGTGGAGACGAAAGAAGATGACAGATATTGCACGAGAGAAGGAGTGAAGGTAAAAGGAGACAAATTTAGATAACAAATTTTTCCGTCGCTACCCGGATTCATATCTATATGCCTATATCAATGCAAAAGTACTACAGTTTGTTAACATGCGGATGTCTCATAAATCTAATTAATTGAGATATACCGTTTTAGAAAAAATGCCTACAGTTTGCTATCAGTTTAATTTTCTTCTTTTATTTTTAGATGCAACTGCCAGTTGCCGAAACTTTCCTGTCCAGAGCAATGAGAAAGTGAATAATGTTGAAGATCTACCTTACTGTGATGAAAATGGAGGAACACCGGAAACAGGTTCAGAAGGAACACCGGAAACAGGTTCAGAAGGATCACCGGAAACGGGTTCAGAAGGAGCACCGGAAACAGGTTCAGAAGGAGCACCGGAAACAGGTTCAGAAGGAGCACCGGAAACAGGTTCAGAAGGAGCACCGGAAACAGGTTCAGAAGGAGCACCGGAAACAGGTTCAGAAGGATCACCGGAAACAGGTTCAGAAGGAACACCGGAAGCGAACCGTAGGTGTCGCCCTCGTCCGAAAGCTGAAGGCGGTCACCCTGAGGGCGGTAATGCAGAAGGCAGTCACCCTGAGGGCGGCAATGCAGAAGGCAGTCACCCTGAAGGTGGTAATGCCGAAGGCGGTAATGCTGAAGGTGGTAACGCAGAAGGAGAGCCAGAGCCAGAACCTAATCCCTGTGATGGTCATTGTGGCCTCAAAGAACGATGTGTCTTTGACGTCCAATGGGAATACATTCCACAGACACAGTCTCTAAACTTCACAGTGACTGCAGAGTTGACCTCTTCAGAGTACTTCGGTTTGGGATGGTCTGGCACTCCTGACATGGTGAGTGATTTCTTTTGTCGGTTTTATTTTCACTAATTGAATACTCAGGCTCATATATGATTTAAACTGTGTCAGTTTTTTGAGGGGGAGGGGGGGTAGCGGCGAATTACACTTAAAAAAATAAATTAATTACCATTTTCATAGTTCGCCAGTCCCTTTTGCCAAGTACCCATTTGTAGTTGGGAAAAGAGAGAAAAATAAGGTAAAGTACTATTCGAAAAAAACCCAACCAAACTCTAAGCAAATGAACACCATCCAACTTGGCTGCGCCAGCAATCAAACTTTAGACCAAAAAATATATCTATTTTTTAATCAAGTCGACGTCTGACTGTTTGGCTTAGACGTCCTTACAGCAAGTGGATCAAACCAGCTAGTTTAAAAAAAAAATATGTTACGGAAAAACGAATTGAACACATTTTGGGGGTAAGACAAGGAACCCTCACACTAACACGTGTATACTCACAGGATGATGGCATATTTATAGAATGTCTGAAAAAGGAAACGTGGGTGGTTACGGGTGCTCTAGTGGGGTTTGCTTCTCTTCTATCGAAAATCTTTTGTCCTCATCTCTCCTCCTTTTTTGTGTTTGTTACTCTCTTGTAACACCCGTAATCTTCTGCACTTGTACGACCTAATGTGTTGCAAAAACCGTAATACTGTTACTGAAACAAAACAAGCCAAAGCAAACGAAAAGGAAGTCTCCGTTTTATGTTGGTTTTTTTTTTCTTCAGAAAAACAGCGACATTGTGGTGGGCTGGCTCAACAATGGAGTGCCAGTTGTGCAAGATAGGTAAGAAGGTGGTGTTATTCTCATATAATCATTACTCATAAAGAATTGCAGTATGCACTTTGTTGTAAAAAGAGAAGTTGAAAGGTAATATCCGTAAAGTTTTGTATATTTTTTACTTGTAATGCAGATATCTACACTGGTCAAATATATCAAAGAAAACCAAAGAGTCAATAATATACAAAGATAGCGGGTAAAACTTAAAAAAAAAAACTAAAGGAAAAATCCCTGCAAGATCCAGTGACAAGACTGTTGCAGCCAAAGCCACCATAAACACGAGACCAAAATCACAAACATTACATTAAACCAAATTAAATGTGTTTTTCTTTTCTATTTCACAGGTGGACCGGTGATGGGAAGATTGAACCAACCCTAGACAACGCACAGGACATATCGGCGATCTCTGGCGGAACAATAGGTTCCAAAACAGTCATCTCTTTTACCCGGCTGTTGTCCACTGGAATCCAAAACAACTCCGAAGACCAGAAGTTCGCTGACGAATGCCTTTACCTTATCACAGCCATAGGCTCGCGGAACAACGCTAACAATCTTGCCTATCACCTCGACAGAAAGAACGTGACAGAAAAATATTGCTGGCTCAACTGTCCCGCTAGCTCTCCACCGACAACTCCTGAAGGTTTGTACCTCGTGACCCCACATAGATCTATCTATTTTTTGTTTTGTTTTTGTTATAAGACTAATTGGGCACCAGTAGCTCACCAAGTTGGGCGAAATGTGGGCAGCGCATGTTATGGTAAAGTATTCTTTGCTATGCTATGCTATTCTATATTTTGCTATGGGTTTGATAACATCCATTCCAACACTTCAATGTACTCTAAGAGGCAGATCCTACTAATTTACAGTCTATTTATTATAGGAACAAGCCAAGTGGGCAGAGGGCGTCGAAACTGTACAAACTATTCCCGTTTAAGAACTTAAAATTGGGGATTCGAGTAAAGGTCATCTTGAAATGCAAATTATTGTCAGCACAAACCATAGGCCTAAGTGTGAACAAGACTACCCAGAAAGATAATATTATGCTAAACAAGATTCTTGGACCCCTGTTCAACCTTTTACATAATTGTAAAATAGTCAGACACCTCCATGACACCACAACGAAATGCTCTTACTGTTCGTGTATTGTTTCGTTGTGTGTCACCTGTAGCAGAAACAGGTAAAACTACCAACCCAGAGAGCAACGGGGAGTCCCATCCAGAGACCGAGCCGAAGCCCAAGGTCTGCGATGGAAAGTGTGACAAGTGTCTTTTCAACGTGAGCTGGACATATGACGGGAAGAGCAAGAATGTGACCTTCACCGTAGAGGCAGAACTTTCCAGTACCGAGTACTTTGGCCTCGGATTCTCCACAGACCAGACAATGGTAATTGTGTTGTAGTTTTTTTTTGCACGCACTTAATGTCCTGCCGACACAACTTTGCTTGTTTTGGGGGTCTGCTTACTCGACCCTAAGAGTTTGTAAGATTCGTATTACCAGAAGGATGGAATTCTCAATAAAGTTTCCTCAAGGGACAGGTCACTCCGTACGTGCAAAAAGCAAAGAGTTTTTACCAGCACAGACGCCCGACCAGAGAATTCTGATCTCGACAGTATGCACTGAACAAGTCGCCATTGCGTTGTCATGTAAACATTGAAAACTATTAGAACAAGACAGACAGTGCATCCATCCTCCTTTAAAAAAATCAATAATCACCTTCATGGATTCAAAATCAGTAGTCTAGAAGACATTCTAGATCGGGGATGATCAAACCACGGATCGAGAGTAGAAATTGACCAGCCAAACGGTTTCTTACCAGACTTCGATACACCACTAAAAAAGTTGAAACTATCCGAAATATATATATTTGGAGCTTTTTCAGCAACCGTTTTTCGTAATCATTCATGTTCTGTAGGCTTTCAGATTATAACGAATCTTGACTCAATTTATACTCGGTTTTCAGTAGCAAATAGTTGAAACATGACCTCATCTCGTTTCCACCCAACGGCGAATTTTTTAACAATATGTTATGTATAGAATTAATTAAGAGACTAATCTTTGCTTTGTTGATTTTTTTTCAATGGTTTCTAAATTTATACACTTTTTGTGGCCTGAAAAGACTGCGCACCCCTGGCTAGGTGAAATAAAGACTAAGCTTCCTTGAAGATACCTTTGTTAAAAAAACAACCCCCCCCAAAAAAACAAAAACAAACACCCAACAACTCTTCTCTACATATGTAAGTGGACGCTATCTTCACGGTACGAAAGTAATTGTTTTAAGAATAACTATCTTTGCCTTAATAATAATAATAATAATAATAATAATAATAATAATAATAATAATAGTAATTATTTATATAGCGTCTAATCTCTAAAAGACTCTAAGCACTGTGCAATAAAAAATCAGCATTCAATTTAACTAACGATTCAAAAGACAGACAATGCGCATTGGGAGACCATTTATTTTTAACAACAACAACAACAACAAAAACAGCAACAATAACAACAACAACAACAACAACAGCAACAACAACAACAACAACAAAGACAACATACACACATACACACAAAAAACAGCATACACTCACATACACACACACACACACACACACACACACACACACACACACACACACACACACACACACACACACACACGAATGCATACACTCACTCACACACTTACACACTCAAACACACACACACACACACACACACACACACACACACACACACACACACACACACACACACAGAGGCACGTACATATTCTCACAGACAAAGTTTTCTGGCAGAGGATAGTGTTCAACAAATGTGTCTTTAGACTTTTCTTACATTCTTGCATAACTTTTCTGCTTTCCGTTTGTGGATTTTTATGGTTCTTTCTTTCTTTCTTTCTTTCTTTCTTTCTTTCTTTCTTTCTTTCTTTCTTTCTTTCTTTCTTTCTTTCTTTCTTTCTTTCTTTCTTTCTTTCTTTCTTTGTTTGTGTCAATCTATCTATCTCTTGCTCTCCCCCTCACTGTCTGTCTGTCTGTCTGTCTGTCTGTCTGTCTGTCTGTCTGTCTGTCTGTCTGTCTGTCTGTCTGTCTGTCTGTCTGTCTGTCTGTCTGTCTGTCTGTCTCCCCTCTTTCTCCCTCTCTCTCTCCCTCTCTCTCTCACTCTATCTCTCCCCCTCTCTCTCACTCTCTCGCTCGCTCTTTGCTATCGTCACTATGTCTCCTGCACTCTTACATTTTCTTTCTCTCTCACTTAATTACATATTTTTGTACATCCTCAGCCAAACTCTGATATTGTTGTTGGTTGGCTGGAAAATGATCTGCCTTATGTGTCTGATCGGTAAGTATGCCTGGACTGGGGAGGGAGGGGGAGACGATGGTAGTGGTGGTGTCTGTCTGTCCGTCTGTCTGTCTGTCTGTCTGTCTGTCTGTCTGTCTGTCTGTCTGTCTGTCTGTCTGTCTGTCTTTGTAGTAATCTGGGTCCCTTGAAGAATACTTTCATCCCGTTCATGTGCATGAATAAAGACACAATAATGATGGAGAAAACTGCAGATGAATCGTTTAGACAGAGTGCGGAAGAGTGATTATTAGGGAACCAATTTTTAAAGTGTCTTTCCGTACTTAATTTTTCGTTCTCTTATGTATTTAATCTGAAGTTTCCCTTTGCACCTCTCTGGACACACTCGAGTCTGCGTCTTCAGCTGTCAACGGACAGCCCTATAGCCACCCTTACTCAAATTCTCTTCGGGGATGATTGATAGGCACCCTGGTGTGGTTTGTTCCTTCTTTTCTACCAAACATCAATTGTCCTTTGTCCTTCTTCTCTTTGTATGTTACTCCCTAGTAACAATTTTAATATTCGCCACTTATATGACCTTATCTTGGTAAACCTAAAACCAGAACTCTCTTCGTTCAGGTGGGCATCAGGTAAGAGTGCTCCTGTCGAAGACAACATAAACAACTTAATGCCAATCTCCGGAACTAAGAAAGATGGGAAAACCATCATCAGCTTCTCCCGGCAGCTCAACACCAGCGACCCATCTGACCTTGACCTTGGTGGCAAGTGCGTCTACCTGCTGTTGGCTAAGGGCTCGAAGTCCAACACAGGCGCCATCATTTCTTACCACAGTCAGAGAAGCGCCAGCACAGACAAGTACTGTTTTGTCGACTGTGAGTCAACACCTGAACCAGAAGGTAAGTGGTCCTTATTAATTTTTTTATTTGGGGGACGGGGGAAAAAGGGGGGGGGGAGGTTAAGTAGGCCTACGTCTGCGCTCTTCTGACATCTCCTGGAACTGGCCCGTCCGTCTTCTGTGTTATTAGTTATTATCTATGACGAGTTCGCCCCCCCCCCTTTTATTAACAGATTATATTTTTCACCAGATTTATGGTGTTCCAGGTGTTATTTTGTCGGAGACGAACACAGCCCACCAGTGTCTGTGGTGTAGCAGTTAGGTGCTTCATTTTCACATACAGAAGACCCGAGTTTGATTCCCCTGTGGGGAGACTTATCAACGAGTATCTCGGTCTTTCTGCTGGGACGTTGTATACCTCTCAGTCGTGTTGGTTTGACAGGAAGGGTCGAAGCCCACCTCCTAAATGATCTAAATTGTCTCGATGGAGGCAGAAAAAACAATAACACTTGCATCAAATTATCGTCGAGAAACTCAAGCCTAATAAAGCATTTTATTTCCCTTTATGTTCAGACCCCCCCACCCCCCCCCCCCACGGCCAACCCCTGTGTTCCAGTACCCATCAACGATATGTATTGTCTCTTTGTCTCTTTACTGTTGACGTTTTAGTTAGACTCCACCCCCTCCATGCACTGTTAAGATCTTTTTGGTAGCTAGCTTAGCTGCTGTTTTATATAAGCGCAGACAGCCTAAAAATATGTAGATTTTTCAAAGAATGCATACCCATGCCAAGTACTCAAACATAAATTCTTTCCATTAAACTGAAATGAATACGTTATTTGACTGTATCAGTTCGATGCCTGTTGTGTACAATAATGAACTCGCTAACGTGGACAGGGAAACAAGCCAATGGAACAAATACAAGAAGGTCAGAAATTTCACTTGTTGCACGCTAATTTCAAAACAGGAGAACACGAACCAGGGAGCGAGGGAGAGCCAGGAGGCGAGCATGAGCCAGGGAGCGAGGGAGAGCCAGGAGGCGAGCATGAGCCAGGGAGCGAGGGAGAGCCAGGGGGCGAGCATGAGCCAGGGAGCGAGGGAGAGCCAGGAGGCGAGCATGAGCCAGGGAGCGAGGGAGAGCCAGGAGGCGAGCATGAGCCAGGGAGCGAGCATGAGCCAGGGAGCGAGGGAGAGCCACAAGGAGAGAGTACAGGCAATGGTAAGTGAGGTTAATTTTAGTTTAGTTTCCTTAGCAGGTTGCAAGTCAGTGGGAAGCAGCTGAGTATTTATGCTTCCTCTAGAGTATCACCATAGATTATATGAAAGATATTGTTAACTTTTATTTGAGTCTGAAATTATCTGCAATCTCAATCAAGATTCAATATCGAGCTATTGTCGAAGATGAAATGAAGACAGATTTTATCAGCATACCGCTAGGTCTGCTTTGCAATACAGGTCGCCTACTTTTGGCACAAAAGTTCCATTTTTTGTGGAGGCGAATATGACAGAAAGTAACAGAAAGGCGAACAATCGAGGAATGGGCCTTTCTTATAAGTCCTTGACACAACAGAAATGTTACATAAGGTGCGAGACCTTCCATTCAAGCCCTCCTTCGATAGGACCATGCCATGTAAACTCACTCTATGATCTTTATTCAGAAATACCCGAGAAAGGACTCACAATTGAACCCCTAAACGTCAACCAAGTATAGTGTGTTGCTTACTCAATTTTTATCATGCAATACAAGGTTCATGTTCTCAACGGGCCACTCGAACGTCTGTCGTGTTGTGGTTAGGATCTTCGCCCTCGCAAACAGAAGATGATAATATAATTTTCGAGTTCCGCACAGGGAGGTTTTTATTAGTGAAGTATCCATATCTGTTTGCTGGGATGTTGTATCCATGTCAACCCGAGTTGCCTTGATGTGCAGGATACAATCAGCAAACCTCCTAAATAATCTAATTAATTGTGTCGACGTGGGCTTAAGTTCTAATATCTGCAATCATAATTGTGCTTCCTCCTCAACTTTGATTGTCTTTGGAATCCCAAGGCACTCGGAGCAGTGTCTGTGGTGTAGTATTTAGGTGCTTTGCTGTCCCGGTCATAAGACCTGGGTTTGATTCACGTTAATGGGGCGGGGTCGGATTTTCATGGAGTATCTCGGCCTTTCCGCTAAGGCTATGTGCCCCTGTCGACCGGGGTTGGCCCACATTGTGTCAATGAGAGCGTAGAAACAAACAAACGTTAAGCATAATTCAAAAGGCACTCAGTCCACTTGACTCAGTGATGTCCAGGGTTCCGCTTCATAAATAATTTAACAGTATTGAAAAGGAAGTGAAACCCATATCATCCTTATAGTTCTCCTTTATTTTCATTATGCATTTAAGCCGTACCGTATTTTGGGCACAGCATTATTTCTGTAGGACTTGAAACTTGGGTTGACATAACTCTGTTGAAGAAAATAATCAACGGGCTTGATTTTTTTGGCTATGAAATCAAATTTGATGTTGAATTTTTAAAAATGCTTTTATAGTGGATATCCACGCTCTACAACATGTTCTATGTGCTTTACAAGGTATCTATCTAACTTAGCCCACTTTTTAGAATATTTGAGTTCAAATGTTCAAACACTATATTTCCTTCAAATAAAGAACAAAATGCACCTGGGTTTCATATCAGGAAATAAAGACATATGATGTAGTGGGACTACAGAGGGAGGTAACATACACTCTCATTCCAAATCCTAAAAACTCCGAGTTGGAACTTCGTTATTCTGGGGTTGCGAAATGTCATTATTACGCTGTCCTTTTCTATTTCCTAGAAGTTGGACGTAGACTTGCTTGTAAATGACATATTTGAAGTGGCAGTTAGTGTTGTGAGTGCGTTTCCCAAGAAGTTGATATTTTTTCATAACGGTATCAAGTCTGCTGGGGTAATAATGTAGATTTTAAAGCCCATAGAGCTTGCTTTTGAGCGGGAATTTGCGTCGTACCAATGCTATCTGTCTGTCTTTATATCTATCTATATTTCTCTATCTATCCATCTTTCTCTCTATCTATCTCTCTATCTCTCTATCTATCTATCTGTCTATCTATCTATCTATCTATCTATCTATCTA